TATGAACATAGTTCTAAGCATCTGATGAGAAACTATGAAATACAGTGTACGATTCTATCATAATTGTTATTTTGGAATTTTATCAAAATTTTCTAAAAAGAACCAATTATTCGCAATCATCAATCAATCAGTGTTAGACCACCAATGAAAACCTAGAAGCACAGGACGGTCGTTTCGTCCTGGTATGGGACTCATCTCTGTTGGATGCCGGCCCACTATACCAGAGGTTAGCCGTTCAGGCACAGGACGTCTTCTCATTGTGCACTCAAAGATTATAAAAGGGACTAACTGTTTTAAATTTGTGAAAAGAAGACTCCTTACGTCTAGCATTAAACAGTTAGATGAACTAGATACTGTATGAAGTTTGTCTGTTATTATTTCAAACCATGAATCGATCAATGTTAGACCACCATTAGAAACCTGAATGCACTGAAAGACGGACGTTTCATCCTGGTATGGGACTCATCAGTAACAGTGTGTATCCCCGACACCTTCTACTCACATGACTCAAACCCAGAAACTTCGGTCTCGCTCGCAGAAACCCACTCATTAGTTAACATATGTTTTTATGTAATTTTATAGGCTTAGAGATATACTAATACTAATGCTCAGTTCACGATTCATTATTTTTCTAAATAACCTTATTCCGATGAGAATTTATTCCTTACATGATTGTTACAGATTAAGAAAAATATTTTTTACCATTCTATCGATTAAAACAAACTGTAAGTGTTAATCGATGAACTTTTCAAGTGAATAATTTTCGAGGTTAGCTAGCAAAATTTCAGTTGATGTAGACCTTAGAGGTGAATCAATTGATTGATTTATAAACTGTGTCAATCAACATGGTTTTCACATTCATACACTTTAGTAATAATGTAATTTAGGCTGTTGCATAGAATGACAGTTTTATAGCTTGAATTCATCACTATGAATCAAACATTTGTGAATGATGGTACCACAGTTAAAAAAAGAGAATCGTTTGTTCTTCAACGTTGACACTTATGGCCCTGATAATCAGTTGCAATAGGTCTTTTGCTTTCAATAGCTGGATGTGAAGTGGTTGGAATGACTTCCAGTAAATGTGATGAAGATCTATAGGTTCCTAAGAAGCAGTAGAGATGTCATCCAACTACACTTGATAGAATTTCTAGAATATCGTTGTGCCATACGCCGAGTGGACAATGGTGTGATATCATTGTTTGTCGACTGAGCGATCATAACGAAGTTTTTAGTCCTGTACTTTTCGACACTTGCTACAGTGAACACTTCTGCCGTCTTCTCTTCACAGAGTATTCAGTGCATGAAGGCTTCAGTTAACAAGTTTTGGTGATTAATTACCTAGGCTAGCCATGTCTTTCCGTATACATTAATTCTGCTACAAGTTACGTTAGGGGATGTTATTGGAAATTACGTAGGTACCTTTTTGATTAGTTAAATAATGACACAGTAAACAGATCATTCTTGCCGTACACAGTTTAAATGTGTCTTGATACTATCATAAATCCATTGTGACTTACTGCACCTCACCTCCATGATATTCCTAATCGGATACATTTCTATGTAAAAATGTTTGAGTTTATAAACTACTGCAATTTTTCGGCTTAGTCAGCATTCTGTTTCAATCTACTGTCGAGCTAGTCAGTAATATGTGATTCGCATTTACACCACGGTGATTTAGAAAGACAGTTTTTCATCCTATATTGAAAGAATTTTTACACTGCTTCGATAATTAAATGGACCAATTTTACAAAAAAACTCATATATTACATCAATTTTCACCTTTCCTTCAAACTCAAAAAGTACTAGCCCTATTGATTCTAACATCTTCACAAACATTGATTACGTGTTCTTGACGTTGTTCCTGTTGACTGAAGCGTTAACGTGCTCTATCATAGCACCATTTTGAGGTTTGTGATTTGCATTTGCATTAAGGTCAGAGGTTATATTTTAGAATTAACGTGAACTGTGTTCTGTATGTCACGTAATATGTGACACTGTTATAATTCTGAAGATTTTTCAACGAAAAAAATGGATGAACAGATCAATATATAAGTAGTTCAACAATGATCGATGCTAGCTCAGTGGTCCAGAGGTTAGACGTCCGAGCAAGGTCGATAATGGCAGGAGTCGTAGATGCGCACTGTCACTGATAAGTAGTCCCATACCAGAACGAAACGGTCATGTACAATGCTTCCAGGTCATCTAATGGTTGATAGTTGATGATTTCCATGTGTAAAAACACTGATATCCATAAGTCTAATTGAAAAAAATAAATTAATAATCGGTATAACTTTTATTAACAATATTAAAATTTGTTTTTCATTTATCAAAACCTAGCTTCTCATAATTGATCGTGACAGTCCAACAGTTAATGGTCAAGTACATTGTGAAGAACCAACATATTTAATAAGAAATCAACCTATTCTATTTGTACAAGAATCGTTGTATTTACATGACAGAACACTGTCACAAAAAATCAATAATTATCATCATTATTATAATTCCACAAAATTCTCACCGAAATCATCATCATCGACGTCGTCAAACACAGAGACTCATGTTTATCAACGTTTCACATTATACAGTCAACGAAAATTTGATCGTGAAAATGTCACCAATCCATACTTTGCTATTTTACATTGTTGGGATGGTTATTCATCAACAACATCGTCCTCCTCCTCTCCGTTGAGCCCATCATCATCATCACATGTGTATATGCAGAGGAAACCACTGGAAATGACATCATCATCACCACAAATGTTTAGTCTAACAGCTACAATGACCATTTTCTTAGAAATATTAGATGAGAATGATAATGAACCGATATTTGATCAAGAATTATATAAGGTTACAATGAAAGAAAATTCACCGATAGGCACTAAAATTATCAAGGTAAGTTATTCCCTTTTTCAATATAACCATTAAGTCTAGATGTTATCATTAGCTTCAATGTTTCTTTATCGTGCTGATTATAATAACTACTACTAACCTAACATGTCTTGTATAGCTGATTAGCTACATTTCTAACAGTTGAACTGACAAAACTTAGTTGTGGTGGTGTTCCGCTCTCTCACCACCACAATCATCTACCTGAGCTACAAATTTTCTCCACCATGACAAAACTCAAAATAAAATCGAAGTTGGGGCATTAGTCTCTGTACAAAAATAATCGTAGATAATCGTAAAGTTAGATGCAATTTCATGATTGATGAGAAATGAATGATGTTTACTTACTTACGCCTGCTACCCTTTATGGAGCAAAGGCAGCAGACCAGCATTATTAAACTTACTCTATCCTAGGCCTGTCTTTCTACTTCTGTCCAAATATTATTCATTCTTCTCATATCTGTCTCCATTTCTCGGCGTAATTTGTTCTTTGATCTTTCTTTGTCCAGTTGACCTCGTGGATTCCAGTTCAGGGTTTGTCTCTTGACGCAGTTGGGTGCTTTCCGCAATGTGTAACCTATCCGCTTCTAACGCTTCTTTCTGACCTATTCCCCTGATAGAATCTGGTTTGTTCTCCCTCAGAGTAGGTTGTTTCGGATAGTGTATAGATAGTGAATCCGAAGTTTTTTGCGTAAACAATGATGATAATACAATGAGTGATATTACTTTCAACGAAACCACTTACTTACTTATCTACGCCTGTCACTCCACGATAGAGGACTGTCGCTCGTTCTGGAGCACATGTTTAGATTCAGATCATGCCCTAGTGCGAGCTCGCATTTGTTTGAGGCTTACTGGACGTAGGAAAGACACCGCAAGGAAACCTCTTAGGGTTCTACTTATTGATAATGAGGCTAAGAATATATTCCAGGAACAACTAGAAAGAGAGTTAAGCAACCATGTGGTAAGCGATTCCCATCCGCATGCAGGTTGGTATGATATCAAAAAGGCTGTGGAAACAGCAGTGACATCTGCTAGTAAGGTAAACCATAAACTTGGGATAAAGCCGTGGATCTCAGTAGCATCCACCGGACTGATAGAAGCTCGAAAACGCATCCCACCTGACTCTGAACATGATGAGGAGAGAAGTCAACTTAGGCGCCTTCTGATAAAAAGCCTACGTAACGACCGTGAACAGTGGTGGGTGGCGAAAGCAAAAGCGATGGAAAAGGCAGCGGCGATCGGCAACACTAGACAAGTTTTCCGCCTTATCAAAGAAACCGGTATTAGGATGGTCTTATTATCCACTCCTAATCCCGGAGACTGGACCGATGGGCAGAACACTTTAGGGACTAGTTCAACTGGCCTGAGGCCACTCTTCGGTTACCCACGACCTCCAGTCATCCTAAATGTCTCATCAGTGCTGATGGCCTGGTAACTGAGGAAATATCAACGCGGATACAGGAGGCTCGATTGGCTTTTGCCAACCTGCGCCACCTATAGCATAGGCGAGATATCCGTTTGCTGACTAGAGGACTAGTGTACTGTGCAGCAGTTCGCTCCGTCCTACTACACGGATGCGAAACATGTCCATTAAGAGTAGAGGACATTGGTTGGTCACTAGTCTTCGATCATCGATGTTTCCGAAGCATTACTCGTGTATCCTTGGACACCCGAATGAGCAACGCTGTTATAAGGAAACGGGTGCAAGGTAAGAATGGCAGATCAATAGACGAAGCAATGAATCTTCATCAGTTGAGGTGGTTGGGACATGTGTTGCGTATGCCTAACCATCGACTGCCTCGACGAGCTTTGTTTTGTAGTGTAGGAGTAGGTTTGAAGAAAGTTAGGGGCGGCCAAACCAAAACATGACAGAAATCCATGAAGCCACTGACAAGTGTACTGAGTCATGTTGGTAGATGTAGCCTACCTGGTTGGGGTCCATTTAGCGTATCATACACACTGATAATATACTATGCAATAGACCCTACATAGATCCTTGATCAACCGGTGAAGAAACGATATTCTGAAGCATTTTTCATTCATTTTAAAAGAAATCTAATTTTAAAAAAAAATTAAGCGCCAAAATTAAACCACCACATGTTTTATGAATTCAACAAATATTTTAATCATTTATCAGAAATACAGCTTAATCACAAACCTATAAAAAATAAATAATGTGTTGATATGCCAAATGAGAAAATTGTTTTCTGTTTTCTTTAAATCCATCCCATGAGTATTGTGTTTTCAAGATTCATGTGTATGAATGTATTCTTTACAATAAATATAAAATACAAACCAAGCGCGCGCGCGAGAGAGAGAGAGACAATGTGTTGTAAAAATTTGAAATTTCGCGCAAAAAAATGTGTTCAATTTTCAAACAAAAAAATAGAAAAACACAACAGATATATTTGTTATTTTTCTAATAAATATAAAATGAAATATACAATTAAATTATTTAAGTGTGACAGAAAAAGAACAGGGGCAATCAAAATTTTAAATATTTAAATACTCATCTATCATTTTTTTTTCTATCAGAGTTATGGAGATCAGTGTTTTTTCACTTTGAAACCATAAATCAATCATGGTTACACCACTATTAGGAACCTGGAAGCACTGCAAGGCCGTTTCGTCTTGGTATGGAACTCATCTGAAGTGCACATCCACTACTCTCGTACTTCGCAGTATTCCAACCCAGGACCTTCGGTCATCTATCAAATGTAATAATTGAAATGATGAATCGACCATTGTAAGACTACCTTTAGAAAGAAACTTGGAAGTGTTGGATAGCCGGTTCTTTCTAGTACGGGACTCATTAGTAGTGCGCATTCACAAATGCTTCGGCCTCGCGCATAAATATTTGACCTGTCTGGACCACCGTGCTGGCCGGCACCCAACGGCGTCAGTGTCTAACTTTGGTTAATCTACAGCCTTATGAAACCTTACTCATTGTCGTCGCCAGATAACTGCCTACAGCTGACAGGGCTAAATTCCGCTGAACACGGCTTTCCACTGGAACCCCGAGAATATTCTCATGAAGCTAGTCACTAGAGAGCATATTTTATGATTTTCATCATACACTTGTAAAGAATGTTGAGTATCATTGAAAGGATGAAGTGATCATTGTCAGATCATCATTAGAAACCACATTACTGTCATGATTTAGCAGGAAAAGATGTTCAATTTTACAGTTTTAAAAATTAAGTTACAAATTTATTCGTTGACAATTGAATTTTATGCAAGTGAGACTATGCTACGTTTCAAATCATTTCTTCTGTACTCCTGCACGTATATATATCTAAAACGTTAAGGCTAAATGTATACATTCAGTAACGTTGTCAGGTATGCGCTTCTAATAGTGACCTTAGTTTTTCAACATTGATTTGTGCAACATCTCGATGTTCATCAGTTTATCGAAGAACATCTCATATATACTATAAAAACCTTCTTTTGTTATCTGATGTTAATAACTATGTGAAGAGATTTCGATCCGCCACTTTCTGTTGACTACAACTGACCAAAATAAATAAACTGAACATTAAAAATATACCCTAGTTTTGTGGTAACATGAATATTATTAGTGATCATTGATTATTGACATTATTAAGTCATAACTGAGACGGTGTAGAAACTTTGTAGTTCAAGTGGATGATTGTGGCGGAATTTTATTTTCTGAGCTAGGCGATTTCGCTGTGCAGCTTTCCTTTTGTTGTTCTTTTGAACACACAAACTTTGTTTGCATAGATGTGGTATATTTCATTTCTACTTTTTGGAGAAAGATAGTATGATCATTTCATGTAATGTGCATCAGATTTTTGAACAACTAACCACATTTTTAAAACAATTTGTAAAATTCATCAAACAACTGAAACTGATCTTATTATTTCCAAAGTCATACATATTTATTGCAGTGTTAAATTATTTTATAACTATGACATGATAGGAGGTGTAAGTCTGACATCAAGACAACCTTTAAAACATTGTATAGAATCGTTGAAGGATGAATTCTGAGGTTTATGTAAGCCTTGCCTGCTCGTAAATTGAAGCCCCCCTCTCTTATGTGTACAGAAACAATTTGTTATAACCTTAAATTTATCCTGGTCTTCAGAATTAGACATTAACACTGTTGGATGCCGGCCCAGTGGTCCGATGGTTAGGCGTTCGCGCACAATACCGATGTTCTCGGGTTAGAATCCTGCGAGGTACAGGAGTAGTGGATGCGCACCGCTCTTTAGTCTCATACCAGGACGAAACGGCCGTTGAGTGCTTCCAAGTTTCTAATGATGGTCTAACAATGATTGATTGATGATTTCAAATGTATAAAAACACAAATCTTCAAAACTCCAACTGGAAAAATCTTTAAGCTTTTTTACGACCTAGGGTAATGTGACAATTTCCTCTCCTTTCTATATATTACGCTAATTTTCTCCCCCTCTCTCCCTCATTTACAATGATCTATTTGAACTTTTGTTTAATTGACCTTGACAAGTGTAAATATATATGTGACCAGATTGTTCGAAATGTCTATGGCGTAAATACATCACAACATTTTTTAAGATCAATTAAGTCTTCTCATTGTTGTTCTATCGAAATTTATTAAAAGGGACTAATTGTTTTAAATATGACCTTTAAATAGTTATTGGAGTAGAGAATGACTATATTTCTGAATCAGATCGTATTGATTGACTGACGAATAGACTAAATGGTTGGGATAATTTTGCATACTGTAAATATTGCATATAATCACATTTTTGAAACCATGAATCGATCAATGTTAGACCACCATTAGAAACCTGGAAGCACTGGACGTCCGTTTCGTCCTGGTATGGGACTCATCAGCAGTGCGCATCCATGACTCCTGCACCCTGCAGGATTCGAACCCAGGACCTTCGGTTTTTTAACCAAGTTTAATTACTCTTCCAATAGGAGTACTGTTTGAAATGAACTGAAAATTGAATGTTTGCTTTAGAGGCCAAAGATCCTGTAGTGCGTTAGTTTCGACGGTGGGTTCACAATTTATGTAGTGTGCAAGATATCACTATTTTCGTGACAGTTAGTATTCAACGTGTTCTTAAGCTTCGTAATTAGCTCGTTCAGACAATCGTTACAAAACAGCGTCTGACGATTTATAAATCAGAAGGTGAACTCGAAGTGTTGAAAGCGTTTATTTTGGCACACTACAATTAGATCAGCAAACTACAAGCACTCAAAGATAAATTCGTCATGCGAGCGCGGGAAAACAAGTAAGCGTATTAGCGAATCGGCGAATAAAGTGAAGTGGATTGGAGAAGGCTAGTGATCCAACTCCAAGAGATAAAGCATGACTACATTCGTAGTTTCGATTCCTGCTTGCGAGGTTGTAGGTGTGCACTACTAATGAGACATGAATTTGGATGAAACGACTGTGCAGTAATTCCAGATTTCTAATAGTTGCTGGACATTGATCGACTCATGATCCCAATGAAATAATAATATATGAACTAGTGAGTAACTAGTGTTATTCACATGAAAATAGTCAATTTATTCAGACTTCTTTAAATAATGTCGTGACAAAACATTGTGATACAATATTAGTGCAATATAGTTCAAACGAAATACATCATCACAAATTTATTTCATAAGGTACTCATACATGAAAAATAGATAATTAGGCGTTAACTTGAATCACAGCACTTTCATTAATAAATCTATATTAATGGGATGGGTTCAGCATTGGTAAAATTTGTATTTTAACACAAGGTTTGAACTTCTGAATGTCTATAAATTCAAAGCGATACTCTAATTTATTGGTCATCGTTAGAACGGCATTAAAATTCTGGATGCACCGGACAGTTAGTTCAGCCTAGTACAGGACTCATCAACGGTGCACACCCACGACCTCGCTCATGGTAACACAACCCAGAGCATTTGGTCTCTCAAGTCTTGATTGTTAGAGCTGCATTTTTCCAATCCATCTGGTTCACTAACATTTTGGCATCACAGCTGATATCCAGTTCGTGATTAAAATTCTCTCTAACCAATAATGCTTACATTCAGTTCTAAATCCTATACTTGATTGCCTCAGACTGATTCATAACCCTCTCTTAATATTAGTAGTGCAGTAAATATTCTCAAGACTAGTTTAACATCAATCAAAGGTCATCCATAACTATTCGCCCTAGATCGATGTCAATCTAAATCTCCTGTATCAACTGTCTCCATCCTTACAAAGGGTGGATATTTCTTTTGAACCCATGAATCGATCAATGCTAGACCACCATTAGAAACGTGGAAGCACTGAAAGACGGCCGTTTCGTCCTGGTATGGGACTCCTCAACAGTGAGCATCCAACCTGTTCGAATGTAGACAGTAACTACCGAAGACTGTGTATGAGGTTGCGCAACTCCGTGAATTGATCAAGTTAGACATTAACACCGTTAGATACCGGCTCAGTGGTCCGATGGTTGGGCGTTCGCCTACAGCATCGAAAGTCCTGGGTTCGAATCCTGCGGGTGCAGGAGTCATGGATGCGCACTACCGAGGAGTCTCGTAAGGGGACGAAACGGCCGTCCAGTGCTTCCAGGTTTCTAATGGTGGTCTAACATTGATCGATTCATGGTTTCAAAAAAACTTAACAGTCTTCACAACCCAGTGATGAATATTTCGTCAGTGGATCTTACGTTCAAAACAAATTCAGACACAATAACTTGCTAAATCAAATACACTTCACCCAAATTTATAAACCGATGATACTATGCAATCCCTTCCATTGCGGTATATAAATATTTATACATCAAGAAGGAGAAAACATTTTTAACTTACTACTTATTTAGACAAGAGATATTAAACAAACTAATTAACTATTTTCTTTTCAATGATTAGATGCATGCAACAGATAAAGATGTTGGTGTAAATGCACAAATTTACTACAGTTTACAACAGAATGAATTGAATACGCCTTATTTTAAAATCGATCCAATAACTGGTTGGATTTTTAATTCAGCTGAAATAGATCGTGAAGCACAAGCAACATTTAAAGTAAGCTATTCATTGTTATTTGGCTGATATTTATTTTCATTGTAAATTGACAGTAATAGTAAGTGATATGCACATTGTCATAGGCTTATATAAGTTGATCAATATTGAGGCAATGAGAAAAAGCATTTTATCAACGACTAATGTACATACTGAACAACAAATAATCTGCATCTCACAAAGGTTGCCTCAGGAATCACCAACTTTTGAAGTATTATTTATGTGATTGATTGAGGACAGCTGACACAGACTCCTTCGAAGAAAAGACTGGCGTCAGACAAGGATGCTTACTATCGCGCTTTCTCTTTATCCAAGTGATCAACTGGATTATGAAGATGTCAACATCTGAAGGGAAGCATGGGATGCAGTGGACAGCTAGCATATAGACTTCTAAAATGATCTGGATCTTTTATCGCACACGCAACATCAAATGCAGGAGAAGACGACCAGTGTAGCATCAGTTTCATCAGTAGCAGGTCTCAGCATGCACACACACATGCACAACACAACACGCAACACTGGACCCAGAAGCTTTTAAAGATGTAAAAACCTTTACACCTCTAGGCAGGATCATTGTTGGGTACGGTGAATCTGATGCAGATGTGAAAGCGCAGACAGGAAAGTAAGGGCTGGATTTCTATAACTGAACAACATCTGGCACTTAGACCAGCTATTGACAAACACTTAAGTCAGAATTTTGAATACAAATGTCAAGACAGTTGTACTGCATGTAACGGAAACATGGAAAATTAGGAAATCCATCATCCAGAAGATACAAGTATTTATGTACAGTTGTCTACGCAAAATACTGAGGATTCGTTGACTAGGCACCATCAGCAAAACCTACTTTCAGAGAGTACAAACGAGATTCCAGCAGAGAAACAAATCAGGAAGAAGCGGTGGAAGTGCATAGGACATACATTGAGGGAAACACACAACTGCACCACAAAACAAGCCCTTACTTGGAATCCTCAAGGACATAGGAAAAGCGGAAGGCCAAAGAACACAATAAATCGAGAAATGGTGACGGGTATGAGAAGAATGAACGACGAGTGAACAGAAGTGGAAAAGGATGCTCAGGACAGAGTAGGTTGGTGAATGGTGGTGGGCAGCCTTTGTTCAGTTAGGGGTAACAGGCGTAACTAGGTAAGTAATTAAGATTTAATTTTGATAAAATAGTAATTAAAACCTAGAAAGATATAATTTCAGTGACTGATATCATTAACATTAATCCTATACTGAAATATATTAATGAGGTAATAAATTCTAATTATGAAAAAAATAGTTGACTTGAATTATTTCACAAATATTTATAATTTTGAAACCATGAGTCGATCAGTGTTAGACTACCACTAAAAACATGAAAGCACTGAAAGACGGCTGTTTCGTCCTTGTATGGGACTCATTAGCGATAGTTGCACATCCATGACTTCTGCACCTCCGGTATAGTGAGCGAACGCCTAACCTCTGGACCACTGAGCCGGTATCTAAAGCCGTATATGTCTAACTTGATCAAAATTGTGTAACTTAACATTCTTCACAACCCCGTAATGCAAATATTTATATGTTTCAATGATGGAAGACCAAACTATTTACTGAATGAAATGAATTTATTATTGAAATTTAGTTATTGATAACATAACGAATACTTGGAAACATTGAACAAAGAAAATAGAAGCAAAACAAATCATTATACCTAACTAAGACTATTATTTATTGATATATTGAAGAAAAACAATAAATGACATGAACAACGTGCAAAGTGAGCAGTAATTACTAACGACTGTCATAAAAATTAAAGTCTCTTTTGTGGGGCTGTATCACATTCGAAGTAGGGCTTACCACTTCAGTGGCCTGACTTTAGTTTGGACGAAGATCTGTTTGTGCTATGAAATAAATCTTCCGTTTCGTTTTCGTACATCATAATTAGGCAAAACCCGTCTGTGCGACAGTGGTAATAAGAAGCCAAATCGTTCACACAGGCAGACATGACAATGAATAACGGGCAAGTAAAGCGAAATGGAACAAATCAGTAAGCCAACCAATTGCCTTCTGATGAGGCATGATTGAAAACTTATAATCAGACAAAAATAAGCTAGAAACGTAATCAGCGAAGTAGGCGGCACACACACTCGAATAAAAACAACCAAGTTTTCAGATGATATTTAATAAGATCGAAAGATGAGTGATTAATCACTCATGAAAAAAACGTTAATTAGTTTGTCCGAAACACTGAGACAAGCTGTTTGAGCTCGACATATTACTACACACACACTACAGGTTACATAATTACAACAGGGAATATTAAGTGATTCCATCTAATTTGATTATGTAAGCACATCCAGGTGAAGAATCCTAAAGAGGATGAAATGCACATCTTGTATTTCATTTTTGATTAGTTTAACTTCTGTAATATAAATTTTATTAAGTTATGTAACCATGAATCGATTCGAAACAGAGAATTAAACTATCAATAATCGGCATACGATCTATTCTTAAAGTAGTAGCGATGAGATATTCAAATAATTTTTGATAATTGTAAAAGCCGAAACAAGTGAATAGGCTTCAAATAATAGATAGTTTTAATATGACTTGACAGTGTATCATCCAATCTTATTTGAATCTGACTATACTTTTATCTTGAAATAAATTAAGGTGAATACTAACAGAGTTGGGTAATGGTTAGCGATGGAATCCAGGATGCTCATTCCGTCCGATTTCGAACGCTTCCGTTGGATATACATGCATCTCTGAGTTCATATTCAACCCGGGACTCGAACCCAGTACAGACGGCTTCAGATGCTCTAACGTTAAACACTTCTCTTGTGGTGGCCAATTTACTGCGTGTTCTCAAGCTCGGTAATTATCTCGTCTAGACAGTCGTTAATAACTAGCGTCTGACGGTTTATAAATCAGAAGGTGAACTCGTAGTGATGAATACGTTTATTTGGGACACACTACAAAGCGAAGATGAGAAGCAGCAAATATAACGAACGAAGTGACGTGAGTGGGAGAAGGCTGTTGAGCCAACTCCAAGAGATAGAGCATGACTAAGGATATATAGTCAGACAAACATAAGACAGACATGTGATCAACGAGATAGGCATGCACACACATGAATAAAAACGACGAATAGTTGACAAGGTCAAATGACAAGAGGAACACGTCATGTGAGCTCATACAAACCAGACAATAATAAGAACGAATGGTACATATAAATTGTTGCAATACAAATAGCTTGGTTCAATAAATTAATCGAAACGGTCTAATCAAGTTAGATGTAAGCGAACTAGAATTTATCTTGAGGCACTACACTCTATTGAGTCTACCTCTCTTAATAATGTCACAAACCCAACAGGCAACCACGAAGCAATCCGTAACACAATGCTCAAGAGACTGATCAATCTAAGTCGGCACAATCATTGGCCAGATTCGTACAACCAATACAAATGAACATGATTACTGAATGTTTTTTTTCTAAAGATTCTTCATATATATATATATATATATATATATATATATATATATATATATATATATATATATATATATATATATATATATATATTCATTTACAACAGCATTTCTACAGTGCATACAATTAACTTACATATGTTTGTTTTTACAGTTAACAGTTTTAGCAATCGATGGTGATTATCAAACATTCACCGGTCAATTCTATTTAAAATCAAATCATCAAACTATACATCATACAACGACAACACAATTATTCATACATATATCGGATGAAAATGATAATCCCCCGGAATTTCATGGTCCAAGACAATTTGCTATTGAAGAAAATCAACCAATGAATACATGGATTGGTAATTTACAAGTCATTGATCGTGATGAAGGTTTCAATAGTAAAATAACATTTGAATTATTTATCGGACATCCCAGTGCATTATTGATAAATGAAACGATGACATTGAAACCGAAATTGAATAAGACAAATGATGATGATGATGATGATTCCGTGATGATGGATGATAATTTCCCGTTTTATTTATTGTCTAATGGGAGTTTATTTACAAGGCGATCGTTAGATAGAGAAATTCAAGTAAGTGGGATATTTTAAATTTTAATATTTCCTTTGACTCCTGCACCCCGCAGGATTCGAACTCAGGACCTTCGGTCTTTCAGGAGTCGTGGATGCGCACTGCTGAGGAGTCCCATACCAGGACGAAACGGCCGTCCAGTGCTTCCAGGTTTCTAGTGGTGGTCTAACTAACATTGATCGATTCATGGTTTCAAATTAAACTTAACAATCTTCACAACAGCCCCTTCAATATTTTCAATAATTTTGAACAAAAACACATTTTATATCAGTTGAGAAAATGTATTTTAAACAAATGTGTAGTTCTGTGAACTTTATAGTTTGACTAGTCAGTTGTTTTCGTAAGCAAAGGTGTGATTAGGATCGGTTAGAGTGGCAGGATAAATTAATGATTGTTTTGAATAGTTTGACAGAGTAGTAATATCCATCCCATCGGACTCGAACTCCTCTAAATATTGGAAATAATAGGTATTAGAATAAAACTGGGCCAATGTAAACAGAGAAACATATACAAGCTTTTTTTTTACATTAGCAAACCTTAGACTACATAAGTCGTTCATCATATTAGTTACAGCTTTGCGTCGTTTTGTGTTTTCATAGTGAAAATCGGTCTTGTTCAAAGAGTGTTGTAATTTTTACACATTAGAAACCTGGAAGCACTGGACGGCCGTTTTCTTCTGGTATAAGACTCATCAGCAGTGCGCATCCACGACTCCTGAATCTTGCACGATTGATGATATCAAATGTGTAAAAACAGAAAACCTCGTAACCTCTGCCCAAAAATATCGTAACAGTGCTCACTAGTGACTAGATTCATGAGAAAATTCTCGGAGTTCTAGTTGATAAGACGTGACTAATGGAGTTCAAACCTGTCGGGTGTAGGCAGTAACTACCAAAGACAAATGGGTGAGGTTGCGCAAAAATCCGTAGATCAATCAGAGTTAGACATCAACACCGTTGGATGCCGGGCCACTGGTTCGATGATTAGGCGTTCGCACACAATACCGAAGGTCTCGGGTTCGAATCATGTGAGGTGCAGGAGTCGTGGATGCGCACTGCTACTGATGAGTCACATACCAGGAAAAAACGGCCATCCAGTGCTTCCAGGTTTCTAATGGTGGTCTAACAATGATTGATTGATGATTTCGAATGTGTAAAAACACAAAACCTCCAAAACTCTGCCCGAAAATAATGCTGTAATTATCACATAATATTGATGTCGTTATTATTGCTACCGTTATTATTACTGAAATCTTTAAGCATAGAAATAGTTTATGTACCTTACTTACTTACTTACTTACTTACTTACTTACTTACACCTGTTGCGCTCAATAAAGCATTGGATACCGACCAGGAAATTATTTTTTCTGGTTAGCGTCCTTATTTTTAGCGAGTTATATTTCTATAGTATGGGGTCGCTACTACCGTGCCAAACCCTCCTCCTTTATCCGGGCTTGAGACCTGCAGCACCCCTAAAAGGGATCCGGGTGGAGTTAGTTCAAATAGAGATCTTATTTTAACTATTTCTTACTCACTTCATACCTTGCATTGAATATTTACATTAACACATTATTATTGCTCTCATCTGAATACTTATTCCGTCATTTCACTTCTTGTGTAAATGTATTGTGTGGTGCAGTTTCACTCTCTGAGCTGGATGTTTTGAATGTTGAGCTTCCATTGTTCCTTTGAACAATATCAGCAGCATAAAATTCGTACAGAAGTAGTGTATTCCAGGCGTTTCAGGATAATTAGTTATATATTATGTTATAAACACATCTAAACATGTAGACCGCAACTTTCAAACGGGATGCTCGCTTTAAAATTAAACGAATGATTAATTCAGATTTATACGTGTAAAATACAATGAAAAGTTCTTAAAAAAGCAATATTTATTTACTCTGAAGGAGTGACTTGCAAGATTGTCATGAAACACTTCAGAAATGCACGACTTTATTCATTGGGATATCACCAAAAGTTAAAACTATTTTACTACTAATAAAATCTGTAAGCGGAATCATTCAACGGAGCTAAATCTCAACACTTGTAAATGACTTAATAGTTCTCACTGTCAAGTTGGTCTTGTTCGTACTTCTGATCATAGTCTAACAAATAAGTTACAATTTCGACACCACTAGAGGTAACCAGTAACAAGTCGAATAGCTTGTTGACAACATCACAGACCATGAAACTGAGCTATGCTTTTTTATTTCTTTGGAATTTTCCCTAAAAATTACAAATACACCATATCACCTAACATAAACGTAGATCCACAGTTTCCTGTCAACTTCTTCACAACTCCTATTAGATAAAACAAAAAGAGACTAGTGAATAACTTCGTGAGGAAATTCTCACAGTTTTAGTGACGAGACGTGACCAGTGGAGATCAGCAACTCTGTAGGGTGGGTTTGCGCATGAAAATTAAACAATAACACTGTTTGATACCAGCCCATAGGTTAGGCGATCGCGCGCAAGATCGAAGGTCTGGGGTTTGAATCCTGCGAGTTGCAGAAGTTGCGGATGTGCACTGCCGATGAGTCCCATACCAGTGCGTCCAGGTTCCTAATGGTGGTCTAACAATGATTGACTCATGTTTTCAGTAAAAAGCAGAATGACTTAGTGTAAATGTGACTCTGGAGAAGCTGATTGCTGTAGGAAAACAAATGATTGCAGCTTAAAGTGTATTATTTATGATAGTTTAATTTTTTCTGTATGTAATCTATGCTGGATAATATTCAAACGTGTTTCATTTAACTAACCAGTTATTTTGTTTTTATCCAACATACTACTTTTATCATCAGAATAAATATACTACTTTCATCGGCTTTTTGTTTTTTATTGAATTAGTCTCATTATTGTTTTGAAGTGATTGCATCGGATAATGGTCAAGAGAAAATTCATTCTACAGTCGATACAATTTGTGTACGTGTACTTGATTTAAATGATAATAAACCAGAGATTTTGGAAATTAAAGGAGAATATTATGGTTAGTCAAGAATATATTTTGTTTACTAATTGTTCAAAGAAATGACTAGTCCTCACGTTTTTTCTCCCGTTTATTTTACTTAATTATCAATTCAGTAGTATATTTTTGTATTAAATTGTTATAGAGATCATTATGTTTTTATTTTACCATTTTAATCATGAATGAATCTTTGGCGATGGGGATGGGATCACATTGATCCTTTGAGACCTGAATTATTAGAGAACAGGTTCTACTTCATATCAAGTCTTGTCTTCTTTTTCTCAATATGGGGGTTGGGCTAATCGGAATTAAGTAGCTGGTCGTGTCGCCGGATCCTCGATCCTCGCTCTCGTTTTCCGACTAGGTAAACTCGTAATTGCTCAAGCATATCAAGTTGACGTGTTTACGTGTAGGCGTAACAGAATCATCGTTAGCTAACCAGTAGAAACCTTGGATCACTGGACACGATTGTTTTGTTCGAGTATAGGTGTCAGATCCGTTTTTTGAAGGCTTTGTTTGTGAAAATCCCTCCATATATATAGGTTTGTAATTTGTCCGTATTGATCCTTTCCGTCGTACATTTTGTTAGCATGTTCGATTCCGTTTGAGATGATAATCTTTGTATTTAATAATAGTTTCTATTTCGTTTGCCTTCACCGACTTCCTATGGTTCTTTCTGAACCGCATTGATGTTGTTTAAGCTGATACTTTGTCATTGCGACAGCCATAGTGATTTGTTCCTCTGTTGGTTGGAGCGGTTGCAATGACTGTAAATGTACATTTTAATTGTGAATTGAAGCTTTCTTCTAGAACAGAAAACACTCTATGTTATAAAGCAACTAAATGTTAACTTTCGAAGGAATCTGATCTATCCAGGATGGATAGAAAATCAGTTATCTGTTGCTGTTGATTTAATGAATTGAACGATTGTTGGTGGAATAAGTGAATAGCAATATTTGTTTAGGTAGTGACGTGTATTTATATTTATGATGAATGTTAGAACCGTTATTTGCCTAATCACCCATGTTGGTTTCAACTGGGCTAGGCGTGTATTTAAAATACCTAAACAATTATTGCTGAGTCCAAAGCTCAGTTTGGATCCTACAATGAGGACTCATCACTGGCAGTGCGCATCCATGACTCCTGACAAGTTGATATATACAAATTGAAAAAAAATCTCTATTGAATTATCTAATCTAGATGCGTAGAGAAATCAAAATGTGTCATTGATATTTAACTAATCGTAATAAGCATAACTTTAGTTGACTTTCATATCTCATCTAATTATGTATTATACCATGCAACAAACATTGCTAGGCATGAAATGCTTTTCAATTCATGTACTTTAAATCTATCTAATGTATATGTATTCATTCATATATATATATATATATTTTAGAAAAAGTTATTTCCTCTTTCTAACAAGCATATATTCATTATATTCCAGTTGATTTATTTAAAACAAGTTTATAAATGTATGATATTTGATATTGCCTTTTTTAATTCTGTCATGTTAATTAATGTCATACGGGGTTTTTTTTTTTTGCTACAACAACCCTGTTAGGATTGTGTATGTTTTACAAAAACATGTAGCCTACTACTACTAATACTACTACTACTACTACTACTACTACTACTACTACTACTACTACTACTAATACTACTACTACTACTACTACTACTACTACTGTGGTGCTTGCTACTTATACGAACGATATAAGTAGTATAAGAAGGGACGTGAAAGAAGAAGTCTCACGGTCAGAAGAGGAAAACGGAAAGCAAATGGAGCAAAAGCAAGAAGTGAATGGAGTACTAACAGAGGAAGGAAAGGAAGCAACAACAGGAATGGAAGAAGGATGGAGCGTTGGAAATCAAGACTCATTGATGGTGTGCAAATAGAGTATTCAATGTAGTTTTCGTTTTGTTGGGCAGTTCCTCTTCCAATGCCCCGTTCCTCCGCAAATATAGCATTTATTATTTCTTCCACCCTTTATTCGTAACGCTGCCACCTCGCGTTGTAATTCTTCTATCTTCTTCGCGACATCATCAGCCTGTCTCTCACACGACACCGAGGTGACTGTTGAGTTCATCAGCTGTCTTGTTACTTTAGCCAGCTCGGTGACGTCCATTGGTTGTGCCGCGTTCACCAGTCTCAACTGTTGAGCAACATCTGCAGGCACACTTTCAATGAATTGCGACTGCTCATCCAAATTCGGCAGACCACGGCGGAGCAATCTTGTCACATCCACAGCCAGCACGAGTGGGTCGCCATCCTTGAGTTAGTTAAAAACGAAAACATTACATTGAATATTCTATTTGCACACCATCTTTGAGTCTTGACTTCCAACGCTCCATCCTTCTTCCATTCCTGTTGTTGCTTCCTTTAATTCCTGTTGGTACACCATTTACTTCTTGCTTTTGCTCCATTTGCTTTCCGTTTTCCTCTTGTGAACGTGAGACTTCTTCTTTCACGTCCCTTCTTATACTACTTATATCGTTTGTATAAGTAGCACACACAACACTACTACTTATACTACTACTACTAGTGTTCATTGTTTTATTCTGTTGTGTTGTATGGTTCATTCTTCCTCTCTCTCTGCACACAGAAGATATGAATAGAACATTACTGAATCAATCAATAATGACAGTCAATTCATCTTCCATTGATTTTATTACTGTAAACAAACAACAATCAAATCTGTCACAGCAATCTGTAATACCATTCTCAATCAATGAAGAACCAGGTTATTGTGTATTCATTGTAAAAGCAATTGATGCAGATGAAGGCAGAAATGCACAATTACACTATCGCTTGATCGATCAATATTCAAGTAATAATCATAATAATAATAATCTGGGATTAAACGAACAACATACAACTATGCTAAAAGATGCTTTACAAATAGATTCAACAAATGGACAAGTTATGCTGATTAGAAATTTATTACACAATGAACTTGGTGTGCATGAAATAATCATCCGGGTAGAAGATAATGGAGTGCCGAAATTGAAAACTGAAAAAGTAAATTGAAAATTGAAAATGTTTTTTGTTGTTTTAAAAATGATGTTTGGTTTTTTTAAATTGAAAATAAAACTGTTGGTTTATTTGTTATATGAGTCAGTTAGTCAGTCAGTCAGTCAGTCGGCGAAAACATGTATGTACATCAGTTCAAGTTGCCGTACTACGACAGACCAGAAATGCGATTGTCGGTTCAAATCTTATAGTGGTAGAGCTAGTAGAAGTATGAGTAGTAATTCGAAAGATTAGAGTTTGAGGATGTTATTCACGGAGTAATTTTAATGAAGTAAATTTGAGAACAGTAAGATGGCCGTTTCGTCCTGGTATGGGACTCCTCAGCAACGCGCATCCACGACTCCTGCGCTCCGCAGGATTCAAACCCAGAACGTTCGGTATTGTAGGAGAACGCCTTACCATCGGGCCACTGAGCCAGTACCTAACGGTGTTAATGTCTAACTTGATCAATTCACGGAGTTGCGCAACCTCATACACAGCCTACACCCGAATAGGCTGAACTTCACTGTTCATGTCTTCCCATTAGAACTCGGAGAAGATTCCTCACGAAGCTAGTCACTAGTGAGCACAGGTAATTTGCATTACGGGGTTGTTGTGATGATTGTAAAGTTTTATTTGAAACTACCACCGATTAATGTTAGACCACCATTAGAAACCTGGTCTAACATTGATCCATTCATGGTTTCAAATAAAACTTAACAATCTTCACAACAACCACGTAATGCAAGAGTAAGATGGTCATAAGGAATTCCGCTTAGAATTCCGGGGAAAACAAAGAGTAGATGCACCAGTGCCATTGCAAACGATTTTAAGCCATTTCATTCAAAGTAACCAATCATCGGTTACATGTCATACAAATAAATCATATTATTATCAAAGAGGGTTATGGGATAATGGTGTTATAATTTGTATCAAAGCTCGAACCCGTTACTTATCACTTCAACTGTTGCACACACATCATCTCAAGCTAGTTATCGAAGAACTCGCTCAACATACATATGAAAATCATTTCTTTCTGCGTTGATATTCAAATTTAAACGAGATCATTTCTGAATATCAATCGGGACAAACTTCAGATAGAAGTGAAGCATTCGAATTTCTCCACGTTTGACCTGTAGCTTGTTGTGCTAACCTCGATTTTGATTGGTTGCTGTTGACCTTAATCCTGTCGTTGTTTGCACCTTTGTTTTGATTGCATCTTCCTTTTGATTTGTTTTTGATCCTATGTCACCTATCATTTTTTTGAGTGGTTGATAAATTGGGTCAATGTCGTTTTGTTTGTTGATTACTGATTGACTTGAGTGTCAAGCTTCTAAAAATTCTCTGGTGTTCTTTGTCCTCCCCCTATTCAGTATTTCCACACTGTCCCAATCGAATGTATGTCCATAATTGTTCCTGTCTATTTATATAAGGGAAGAGTTGAAGTGGCGTTTAATTGCTAATTGGTGTTCACGTAGACGAAGCTGTAGAAGCAGTCCACTTCGTCCTATGTAGTGTTTTTTACAGTCTGCACAATTTATTTTGTAGATGATATTTGGTTTTTCTTCCTTTGTCATTTTGTCCTTTGATCTACATAGGATTGATTGAAGTGATTCTGTTGGTTTGTGTGCCACACCTATTCCAAATGGTTTCATTAGTCGTGTTGTATGCTCCGATATGTCTTTGATGTATGGTAGGATGATCCGTTTATTGGTTCCTTTACTTGATTTCGCTTGTGTTGACGATCTCAGTTGATGTTTTTGAATGAAGTTGCGTGGATAGCCAATCTTTTGGAAGATAGTCGTTAGATGTCTTTCTTTGGCGAAATCAATTGCTGATAATAACTCAAGCTGTAGTGCCTCCACATTTATTTGCATTCGCTTACATTTAATTTGGTCAAGTCTTTCAATTAATTTATTTAACCAAGCCATTTATAAAACAATAACTTACATGTACCATTGGCTTTTATTATTGTCTGGTTTGTATGAGCTTGTACGACTGAGCATTGCTTACCGCCTACATATGCCGCTGACCATCATTATTCAACCTACTTTGTTCTTAACCCTTCCTTTCTAGTTCTGTCTACTTGCTGTTCATTCTTCTCATGTCCGCTCGTTGGTTCTAAAAGTAATGTGTTCTTCGGTTTTCCTCTCTTCGTTTGAACTTGGGTATTCCAATGTTGGGGACTCTAGATCCCTAAAACTCACTTTTAAAATGTCCTAATTTCGAATTTTTATGCCTCCGTGCATAAGTTGCTCATTGGACCTTGAGATTATATTTTACACTGGGAAAATCCTCGACTGTCACTGGTTGATGTATTACTTTTGTACGCTATTTCGTGGCTTTCCCAAGGACGTTTCTATCATTGTATAAGTAAGCTCCATTGATGTGCTTGTTGACTTCGTATTTTCAAGGTGCTTGTAGAATCCATTCTCTACCCCTTTTCAAGACTTCTTGCTTTAGTTACCCGGGGCTAGGACAAAAGGATTAGAGTAGCCTATCATGTCTCTGAGTCATTGCTCTTCATTCCGTTTACCGAATAACCTGAACTCGTAATAGTTCAAGCATATTAATTGACAGGCTTGTCTATTGATATAGTTGAGTGCTTTCCGCAATGTCTGTCTTATGCACTTCCAGAACTTCTTTCTGACTCCTTCCTTTGCTGAAATCTCGTTTGTTTTCTCCTACAGTAGATTGTTACTGATGATGTCTGGCCAACAGATAAGGAATATATTACATTGAAAACTTTTAATAAACACTTTTATCATCTTCCAGATGATAGCCTTCGTGATTATCCAAGTTTCCACTGTATACAGTAGAACTGTATTGAAAATCATGACTTTTAGTATTTGTTGATAGTTGTATATATACATATATTTTACTTAAAAATGCAATGGTCCGTCTGAAGACTAATCTGTATTACATAACAAGTTGTAATTGTTTGTTCTTTACTTTTCAATAAAATAACACATAAACATAAAGATTATTCAATTGATTATTGAAGATACACCGGCACGTGGAAATTGGTTACTTCCTGATACAATACAACAGCACAATTTCTCATCTGTACATAATTTTCAACATAAGAATTTATCTAAAGCTTATAAAATTTTAATAGTGATTTTATTATCTGGTATATCAAGTTTTTTAGCTGCTTTATTAATCAGTGTAATTTTGTGTATGATTGCACCTTGTCGAAAATTACAAATCAATTATTCAACGAGTCAATTTTTAAAACACATGTTTGTTAAAAATCATCATCATCATCATACTACTACTGATAATATTTATATCAAAGAATTCAATGAAACCATTTTCAATCATAATGATACTCAACTTAAATCTGATCAGATTGGAATGGTTGACAGTGTATGTAAATTTCATGTGTCCAATCAACAATCTCATAAACCACAACAACAGCAACAACACTCTGATCATTTGAATAGTTATACATCAGGAGAAAATGTGGACAGTTCCACAGTTGACAGGATGGATGTTCCATGGCAAACTACACATTCTTACAATCAAGAATATGGTTCAAGAACAGAGTGTATAGAAAATTGTTTTATACCTCAGTATAAATTTATTCAAACAGATATTTGTGTTAATGATATGACGACACATGATTGTCAAAACAATGTTGATCAGTCGACAATCTATACAATGAATTCAAATGTCAATCAACATCAATTGAATATGATCAATGCCATACAACCAGTGTGCATTGAACGAGTTTTATCACCTTTGAATATTGTGAAAAATACAGTAAGTTAATAAATACTACAATTATTATTATTATTATTATTATTATTATTATTGAACAATGAATTCAATTTTCAATTTTTATGTTCAATAAGTTTGATGTTTTTTTCTAAAAGAAAAGAGCGCTTAATTTCATTTGAGAAACAATATGCGCAAAAGTGATGAAACTATGAGTAACCTGTAAGTAATATTGTATTCAATCAGTCAGTCAGTTGCAACGTAGAACTTCGTACGTAAGTACATCAGTTCAAGTTGCCATACCGCATTAGCACAGAGATGTATTCGTCAGTTCAAATCCCATAGTAGTAGAGGTAGTAAAAGTATTGGAAGTAATCGGAGAGATTAGGGTTTGAAGATGTCATTCAAGAGGTATAATTCAGTGACGTAAATTAAGAAAGAAAAAGATAGAGGTGATGCCTAATTCAGAAGGTTAGACAGAAATCCGTAAGGTATTGAGAGGTGTGACATTTTTAGGCTCGACCTTTTCTAACCCCTTCTTTCCTTGTGAGAAGGCAGCATCACTGCAGATGCTGGTTGTCCGAGGGAAACACCTCACTGCTTTCACAGTCCTCTGCAGTCAGTCAGCAGTAAGACTTCGCCCTCAAACCTTGAGTAGCTGCTTTTAGTCTCATCCTTCTCCAATCGACCTGCCTGGTATGGTAGAACCTTTAGGAACATATGCTCCAGCCACTATAGCTCGGTTGAGTGATCAAGATAGGCAAGCCCGACCACCACGTCAAGGTAGCAGCTACGGTCGAGAAATTTTATTCAAGGGATATATATACATATGGCTTTTATTATTGTTAATTCCGTATAACTTCACCATGACTAAGATGTACAGTCGTACACATTTTTACCATAGATTATTTAAGAAATCGATGAATAATCTATCATTTACTTATTTGTTCCTATTCGTTGTCGAACAGACTGACTAAAGTGACATTTTTTAGTCAGCGAATTCGTTCAAAGTAGATAAAGTCATTTGAGATCAAGCTGTATGTTTTTGACAAGTCAAGAGTAGCCCAACTGGTTGCCATAACTGATTTGATTTTAACCTTCATATCAGCGGATCTACAACAAATCATAGTCATTACTTCACTGGTTATTGTATTCTTAACATTATTCAATGATTCATACTAACTTATTTTTAGTATTGTTAGTTAGAAGTTTTGTTAGCCCATTTCAAACAAATCATCTAAGTGAAGTCAAATGAAAAACAAGCCTGGAGTGATTGAATCGGCTTAATCGAAAATTATTGTTTTCGTTATGATTCATAATGGAGTTGTGTATTAACTCTGTTGTACAGTTTTAAACTACAAACCAATATGAAAGATTATGTGTCCTTAGAAACCTGTAAAGCACTCAACGGTTATTCCGTACTGGTATGAGACTCATCAGTGGGAGTACGCATCCATGACTCCTGCTACTCGTAGGATTCGAACCCAAGACCTTCGGGCTTGCGCGTGAACGCCTGACCTGTGGACAATTGGGCTGGTATAAAACGGTATTAATTTCTAACTCTGATCAGTTTACGTATTTTCGCGTGACATCGCCCATTTGTCTTCAGCAGTTACTGCCTACACCTGACTGGGTTGAACTCTACTGGTCACATCATCTCACTAGAACTCCCAAGAATTTCCTCACGAAGCTAGTCACTAATGCGCACATTGTACGTTATTTATATTTTTAAACAATAACTTTTCTTTTATTAACCTAGGTTCAACAACCTGAATGGAACTCACTCATTTTAGAATTACCACATAATGATTGTCAACAAATATTATCTACCACACTTCATGATGACAAACGCTTACAATGTTCTTTGCATTTACCACAACAACTAAGCTGTCATGCTCAACTATGTAATAACTCTTCCTCTATCACACCGATTTCATCAATCTCATTAGCATCGATCAATAATCCAACCGTGAAACCTAATCTTATTTTACTACAATGTACAGATAATTTGCCAATTACTTCCACATATTATTATACACAACATGATCGATCAGTTTCATTAACTCCACTGTCCATATTGGAATTGAATACAACCAGTTTAAATGATTTGAAATCGATGAATAAAACAAATACAGACTTTAGCTTAAAAGATTGTAATCTACCAATTACAAATGAAGAACAACGTTCCGATAGTGGGCGAGGGGCGAGTGATGAAGAGAATGTTCGTTTGAATAAACTTAATGAATAAAATATTCAATCAATTTTCATTGTTAATAATCATTTAAACTGAATTAATTTGGAAATTTTAATATATATTTGTATATGTTTAACAAAATATTTCAACAATCTTTTACTACAATGAATTTTAAAACTGCAAATCACGGAAAAGTTTGGTTATTGATGACTGGTCTTTTATTGACATGTGAGTAAGCTGACTTTTCTTTTACGAAATTGGAGAATTGTGTATTGTTTTAACATTAAAACCTGGAGCAACTAGACGGCCGTTTCGTCCTGGTATGGAACTCATCAGTGGCAGTGTGCATTCACGACTATTGTTTCTCACAGAACTCGAACCCAGGGCCTTCGATCTTAGGCACGAATGCCTAACCTCCGGGGAACTGAGTTGGTACTCAACGATGTTAATGTCTAACTTCTATTGCGCAACCTCATACGCTATCTTCGGTAGTTACTGTCTACGCCCGAACAAGGATGAACTCCACTGCTCACGACTTCTCACTAGAACTTGGATAATATTCTTCACGTAGCTAGTCACTAGTGAGCCAAGTAATTTAAGTTATGAAGTTGTGGTGATTGTTGAGTTACATTTTGAATTCATAAATCGATGAGTGTTAGGCCACCATTAAAAACCTGGAAGCATTGTATGGCCGTTTGGTCCTAATACAGGACTCATCAACAGTGCAAACTCATGACAGCCGCAAGCAGGAAATCTAACTTTCCTTTTAATTAACTCCGCCTGGAAGTTATCTAGTTCTACTTCCTGTCTCAAGCCTGAATAAAGTAGGAGGGTTGGGCATGAGGTTAACAACCCCTTCCCGTATAAAACGAAATTGCCAGAAAAAATAATTAAAACCATTCTTAGTAATTAAAGAACACATTTATTTTGACTACTTTCAGTAAAGAATTCAACTTTAGAAAAACAGTTTACACTGAGAAACTTCGCATACATACATGTGTTGGATATTCACTTGCTTGTAATAAATAGCACAAGAGAATAGCTGATAATTTCTAATCTTTTAAGCAAAAGAGGTTGTAAATACTACAGAATATGTAGTTTTACATTTTGGATTGATTTAAGTCAGAAAAACAGCCAAAAGTGGAACATACCAGTGAGTTATTTCATGTTGATATGAAACTCCTCAAATAGTAAATGACGACAAACAGTTTGAAGAAACTTCTCATTGATTTTAGATACAATGATCATCTTTTTCAGTTAGATAAATCCAATAACGTTTACGTTTAAATTACCTAGTTCATGGTGAAAATGTCATCAAGACTAACTACTAATCACTTTTCATACAAACAAATCAATAATGAATTTCATTGTGTACATTCCAGACTGATCTTATTTAAACACCTATTCAAAATCTAGAAACATTGGACAACTGTCTCATCCAACAAATCACACCTGCAACCTTGTCGTCAGATCTCGAACCTAGGGCTTTGGATCTAATGCACGACTGTTTAACCTTTAAAATTCCAAATCAGCAGTTAAATCGCAGTGTTGTAAAATCATCTTTCACTGTACTTGATGCATTGTGGTGGTGTTCCGTTGTTTGAGCTGGATATTTTTTTTGTTGTGAAGCTTTCATTGTTCTTCTAACGAACAACATCACGTGCACAAACTTCTATCATTCATCACCTAAGATTTCCCCATCATGTGAACTATACAATTCAAAGAAAAAATCTCTATCAAAATTACAAGTAATTATGAATTCATTAGAAATGAACGTGCGTTTGCATAAGTGATGCCTAAATCAATGTTATTTTTGTTGTACATTTTTAAACTTACTTGCAAATCGATCATTTATTATCCTAATAAACTAACTGGTTGCATACAAACCTTATTATTTTTGTATCATTCATTTCATAATCGGGGAGTCAATCAATCAATAGCAACGTAAAACTACGTACGTACGTAGATCAGTCCATGTTGCCATACCACATCAGCGCAGAGAAATAATTGTCAATTGAAATCCCATAATAGTAGAGGTAGTAAAAAAGTATTAGAAGTAATCGGAGAGATTAGGGTTCGACGATGTTATTCAAGAAGTATACTTCTCACTTACTTACTTACTTACGCCTGTTACCCCCAATGGAACATAGGCCGCCCACCAGTTTTCTCAAACCAACTCTGTCCTGGGCTTCCCTTTCCAGTTCTGTCCAATTTTTGTTCATTCTTCTCATATCTTTCTCTATTTCTCGGCGTAATGTGTTCCTTGGCATTCCTCTTTTCCTTTGACCTTCAGGGTTCTATGTGAGGGCTTGTCTCGTGTAACAGTTAGGTGCTTTTCGTAGTGTTTGTCCTATCCACTTCCACCAATTCTTCCTGATTTCCTCCTCCACTGGAATGTGGTTTGTTTTCTCCCACAGTACGTTGTTGCTGATGGTGTCTGGCCTACGAAGTATAATTCAGTGACGTAAATTTAGAAAGAGAAAGATAGAGGTGATGAGGAATTCAGAAGATTGGAATTTTACAGAACACAAAGAATAAGTGTACCTGCGCGACTGTAAACGGTTTTGAGCCATATCACTCAGGGTCTCTAACCATCGATTATTATCATCTCGCAGACCCCAACCAGGTAGTCCACTTGTCAGTGACTTCATGAATTTCTGCCATGGTTTTGTTTGGCCACCCCTAGCTTATCGGAGAGTTGATTAGTTTGAATAAAATTTATGTAAGTCAACTTTCATCAAATGATCAAAAATACTTATGATGATTGACCTATTACAGTGATTCTTGCTATCGCTCCATGTTTCGTTTTTAAATTTATTTTTTTTCCACTCTCCAATTGTAGATAGAATAGAATCCCTGTTTTATACTTGAAAAAAGTACCGATTCCCAACTACCACATCCCATACAACATGTATCATTCCAATAATTTTATGGTATTCTGATCAATATCACTTCTTCACAGTGTACTGCTACAACATTGTGAATATCATGACAGATGAGTGCTTACAAGTTCATTCAATACACCGGTGTATAGTCCAATAAGATTTATTGTACTTTAAGATATTATCAGCTGTAATTAATATGCATTTTACAATTGTATCATAAACTTTACTTGATTAAGTCTTAATTATAAAATCATACATCTTTTTCTCAATAAACTACCCCATAACATGTTTATACATCATATTACTTTTTGTAATTAACATGATCCTACTTGTACAAATTGGCGTGCATTCTGTAATTATTTTCATTTTATTTTACATATTTTATCGTATATTGTATGATAATTAATACGTAATTCAATCATTGTTCAAATTAAAAACAATTACGAATAGTAATAATAATAATAATAATAATAGTTAATAAACTTTTTTATCTATTCACTACTTCTTTATCAACACAAATTCATTCATGACAGACAATAAAATCTGTCAATCAATAACTGTTTAAGCTGAATTAACAAACTGACACACAGAAAAAGGATTTGCGTCGTTTCAGCCTTAACTTCGATGCATTCAAGTAGAAGAAATAAAAAATGAGGAATATAATGAAAAGATTATCTGATAAGTTTGAAGGATATTTCTTTTTTATCATTCTCAAGTAATAGTTATTCGATATTTTCATTCTTTTATCAAAACACGAATGTCTTCTTCAGCTTATCAAAACTTCATACAATAATTGGCTCTCAATCAGAGTTATGGAGATTAGTGTTTTTACACATTTGAAATCATCAATCAATCATTGTTAGACCACCATTAGAAAACTGGAAACATTGGACGACCGTTTCATCCTGGCATGGGACTCATCAGCAGTAAGCATCCACTACTCCTGCATCTCGCAGGATCTGAACCGGGAACTTCGGTATTGTGAGAGAATGCCTAACCTTTATACCACTGCGCCGGCATCCAACGGTGTTAATGTCTAACTCTTATTGATCTAAGGATTTTGCGCGCCCTCACCCAAATTTGAATTCAACTTGACTAACTTAAACAGGTGAACTATTCAGTTGATCATTTCAATAGTGTGGTTAGGAATGGAATTCAGGATGTGTTTGCTACCCTTCATTTGTGACTTGTGTTTGACTGGATGTATTTGCATCTCAAAGTTGATGTTCGAAATGACTTATTTGAGGTAATTCATGCAAGATGTCCATTTGCATATCAAAGGCTGATCGTATTTCAGTTAGAACATATGAACAACAAGATATTCCACAGTTAAATCTCATACTGGTTGTCAAAGTGAGTCAGTCAGTCAGTTATAACGTAGAAATTGGTACGTACATACATCAGTTTAGGTTGCCATAACGTATCTGCTCAGAAACGCAACTGTCAGTTCAAATCTCATAGTGGTAGCGATAGTAGAAGTATTAGCAGTAATGGAGAAGATTATAGTTTGAAGATATGATTCGAGAAGTTTAATTCAATGAGGTAACTTTAGAAAGATAAAGATAGTGGTAATGAGGATCCCTGGAGGTTATCATTCGAGAGAACACAAAGAATGAATGCACTTGCGCCATCATAAATGATTTTGAGCCATGTTGTTCAAGGTCTCTAACCATCGGTGACTTTCGTCTCGCATCTAGTCATAGTGAATAGCTATTTGAATTCAGTAGCTAACTGGATAATGCGATGGAGTTGAAATTGAATGAGACTGAGTTCCAGTTTCAGGAGTAATAATCATTTCTGAGATACAGGTACATTATCCAGCTAACGAGTCTCGAATACAGCGAAACGAACGTCCTGGATTTCAACTTCTAACTATTTAATCTTAAGTTGGAACTTTTTATATTAAATAGTCAAAATCTATCATAGATATTATGAACAAAGTATTTCTTTTTTTCATTAAATTCCCTTCAGATTCTACAGTTATTTATCTACAATTAATAATCTAAACAGTGGTCACATTTAGCGCAAAATACATCATTTGAAATTCATAGCACGTTAATTCATGATTGTTTATAATGACTGATATGAATGAAGTGTTCTACTTGAATATGAACTGAACGAGACTGAGTTCAAGTCTTAGGAGTGAAAATCATTTCTGAGACACAGGTACAGGTATCCAGCTGACGAATCGAGAACAGAGTGAAACGTTCGTCCTGGATTCCGCTGCTAGCCACATCTATTCTATATACGTTCGTCTCATAACGGCTGATATCAAAATATCAGACTTATTCATTAGACATTCATAAATTAATTAGTTATTCAATTAACTAGTCGAGAGAACAAGCTATTTTTATCATTGGTTGTAATGTAACTGACTAGTTCTATTAGGTAATAATTCATATTGTAAAATTATTTATTTATTGATTGATTAAAAATAACATAATTTAATGTTTTTAATTATGTTATGATAACTACTCATGCGGATGATACAACTAATGACAAAAATTAAAAATTATCAGTAGAAAGACAGATGTAGTAATAGTAGTAGTAGTAGTAGTAGTAGTAGTAGTAGTAGTAGTAGTAGTAGTAGTAGTAGTAGTAGTAGTAGTAGTAGTAGTAGTAGTAGTAGTAGTAGTAGTAGTAGTAGTAGTAGTAGTAGTAGTAGTAGTAGTAGTAGTAGTAGTAGTAGTAGTAGTAGTAGTAGTAGTAGTAGTAGTAGTAGTAGTAGTAGTAGTAGTAGTAGTAGTAGTAGTAGTAGTAGTAGTAGTAGTAGTAGTAGTAGTAGTAGTAGTAGTAGTAGTAGTAGTAGTAGTAGTAGTAGTAGTAGTAGTAGTAGTAGTAGTAGTAGTAGTAGTAGTAGTAGTAGTAGTAGTAGTAGTAGTAGTAGTAGTAGTAGTAGTAGTAGTAGTAGTAGTAGTAATAGTAATAGTAGTGAAGTAAAGGAGGACACAAGTGAGGGCAACCGGATTGTATTTAACGAAAATTACAGAGTTACTCAGTAAAATAGGGAAACCAATTCGTAAAACGTTAAGTTGCAAATCTTCAATCCATCATCAATCCATTGTCTGACATTTCACTTATTCATGCGTTTCATTCAAATTCCGTTGTGTTCCCACTCTTCGTTTCTTGATCTTCCCCCATCTTCTGCTGCCAGACATTACGTTTATACTAACGTCATATACTACTTATAAGTAGCGCGCACCACACTCGTCCCCCCTTTTAATAAGCTGTCGTCATAGTCTTTCTGATCTCCGTACCGCTATCTTCGTTGGTGCTTTCCGTGACTCACACGCTTGATAATCTTGACTGGCATTTACACGCTTCTGCTTGTCTTCTCTCTGAATCGTCTACACCGCGCCGCGTCTCTCCGTGATAACGTACGGTCCTTCCCACTTTGGGATCAGCTTTCCTCACCCTGATCCCCCTGCTATGCTACTTTTTTGTTCTCTACACTTTACTAGGTCCCCTACTCCAAAAGGTTCCCACGTTCTCCTCTGCTGTTCCGCCTTCTTTATGTCTGATGTTTGCTTCTTTCCCACGTTCCTGATTGCCTCCATCCTCTCTTTTCCTAACCTTGTTGTTGCCCATTTCTGTTGTTGTGGCCAGATCTTATTGTGCAGTGGGAGTCGCGGTTGTCTGCCATACATGAGCAAGAAGGGTGATTTCTTGGTTGTACCTTGTATGGAGGAACGATGCGCCAGCAAAATCAATGGTAGCTCTTTCTCCCAATCTCCTCCTTTAGATGCTAAACATTCCTTTAACGTCCGGTTGTTTCTCTCTGTAAGTCCGTTTGTCTGAGGATGATACGGTGTTGTTCGTATCCTCTTGATGCCAAACTATTTTAGACGGTCTTTAAACTCGTCAGTTTCAAAACAGGGACCCTGGTCAGTTAATATCATTTTCGGTATTCCGTGGCACGCTACAATATGCCGGATCACCACTTCGGTCACTGTTCTTGCCCGCTGGTCTGCGATGGGCACGGCATCTATCCAACGTGTAGGATGCTTCGTCATCACTAGCAGGTACCGGTTACCGGTCGCCGTCTGTGGAAATGGTCCCATTATATCCACCGACCATAGATCACCGACTGAGGTTACTGGGATCGACTGTAATGGCCGTTGTGTGTATCTATCGCTTTTCATTAGTTGACACTGCTGGCAAGTTAACACGTATTGAGCCCCATCGTCTCTCATGCCTGGCCAGTATGCACTTTGTCGTAATAAATCCGTCGTTCTTGAGATGCCTGTATGTGCTACCTGGTGACACTCGTGTATCATCTTACGCCGACAGTCTTTCGGGATTACAGTCATCGTCCTGCCAAGTCAGGACTCCATATGCGTTCATTCTCAGTCATTCCTTTTGCCGAAGTAACATTATTACCTCCTTGTCCGTCGTTTGTTTGTCTATGTCTGCCACTTCTCTTATCACTCTGATTACCTCTCGACATTCTTTATCTCCTTATTTCCGCACCCGACCGGAGCTACTGTTCGTGTCATTAGCTGACGAGTCACCTTCGTCAGTTCACCGATGTCCATAGGTTGCGCTGCATTTATTAATCCCAGCTGCTGGGACACGGGGGCAGGCACACTCTCGATAAACTGCGATGCCAACAACAGTGCCTCCAACTCCTCATCAATATTCGGCAGCGCACAGCGCAGCAACCTGGTAAGCTCCACAGCCAGCACCAGCGGGTCGCCATCGGCTGACCGCCTCGCCAATCGGAACTTCTACAACGCCTCCTCTCTGTCCACCGGCCTGTCGAACTCGGTCATCAGCCGCAAATTACAGAGTTACTCAGTGAAATAAGAAAACCATATCGTAAACGGTTAATTTGCAAATCTTCAATCCATCATCAATCCATCGTCTGACATTTCACTATTCATGCGTTTCATACAAATTCCATTGTGTTCTAACTCTTCCTTTCTTGATCTTCCCCCATCTTCTGCTGCCAGACATTACGTTTTCACTCGTGTCATATACTACTTATAAGTAGCGAGCACCACAGCAGTAGTAGTTGTAGTAGTAATAGTAGTAGTAATAGTAATAGTAGTAGTAAGAGTAATAGTTATAGTAATAGTAGTAATTGTGGAAGAAGAGGCGTGAGGAGGCAGAGTCAATGTTCGAGTAGCAATAAGAATAATGAATTAACCGTAACGAAACAAGCAAATGTGTGTAAATATTAAAATTTGATTAGAACTATGTGAAATTATTTTTTTTACAAAGAATAATCATTGAAAATTATATTCAACCGAAGTATACAACTCGTAAATCATTCAACGTAGTTAGTCAATACAGAAATGACAATTTAGAAATTGCTGAAAATCGATAAAGTTATTTACTTGACATTTCACTTGAGAGTCAAAATCAGGAACCTTTGGTCTTGAGCTAAAATGCCTTACGTTGAGAGTACTAAGGCAACATCGTTATAAAACTTAACCATCACCGAATGTCACTAGGTGGACAGCTGTCTAACAGTCAACATATTTAAACTCACCAGAATCCCTGGCGTGACATCGTGAAGCTGCTCACCGATGTGTATTTGATTTTTATCAGCATAGACAAATTAGAACTGCTCACTATCATGAATGAATCTAAGTGAGATATTAACAGCAGTGATCTGGAGATTAAACGTTCACTGGCAAGACCGATAGTCATAAATTGCATTCACGGATCAGGATTTGTAGCTTAATACAGAAGGCTCGATTGGCTTTCGCCACGCCACGTCACTTATGGCGAAGGCAAGATATCCGTTTGCTGACTAAAGGACGAGTGTACTGCGCAGTGGTTCACTCCGTCTTACTTTATGGCTGTGAAACATGGCCAGTCAGAGTAGAAGATATTCGTAGGTTACTGGTTTTCGATCACAGATGTCTTCGAAGCATTGCTCGTATATCGTGGGACACCCGAGTGAGCAACGCTGTTATTAGGAATCGGGTGCTAGGTAAGAATGGCAGATCAATTGACTCAGTAGTGACACTTCATCAGTTGAGGTGGTTGGGACATGTGCTACGTATGGCTAACCACCGACTGCCGCGACGAGCTATGTTTTGCAGTGTAGGAATAGGTTGGAAGAAAGCTAGGGGCGGCCAAATCAAAACATGGCAGAAATGCATGAAATCATTGACGAGTGGACTTAGCCATGTCGGTAATTGTCGACTACCTGGTTGGGGTCGGCGAGATGATAATAATCGATGGTTAGAGACCTTGAATGACATGGCTCAAAATCGTTCGCAATGGCGCCAGTGCATTTATTCTTTGTGATCTCTCAAATCCTAATCTTCTGGGTTCTTCAACCCCTCTAGTTTTGTCTTTCTAAACTTTTCTCATTAAATCATACTTCTTGAATAATATCTTCTAATCCTAACCTCTCCGATTACTTCTAATACCCTTACTACCTCTTCTACTATTGGATTTGAATTGACAATTATATCTCTGTGCTGATGTGGTATGGCGACATGAACTGATGTACTTACGTACGAAATTCTAAGTTGCATCTGACTGACTCTGACTGACATATGAAGAGTCTTGCACAAGCACGAAACAGTAGTTCAATACTTCTATTTTTCCTAAAAATGGTCTAGTTCAAATTTTCACAGTCTTCACTAATCTCCATATATATTGTAAAAATTTATTTTCCACATATTATCTAGTTGACAAGAACGATGACAAATTTCTCCCATATAAAGACGACGCTTGTTTTAATCAAAATTTCAATTCATTAGTCAATTAACTCAACTTCATTTGAAAGATGGCGGTGAATCAGTGAAAACACATTATGTTACAGTAAAATATCTAGAAGATTCTTTACAATAATACTAAAGTCAATATCGGCATTACAACTGTCACAGGAAACTTATTGTCAGTAACTAATCAAACTTGCATAAGTTGCGTAAGTTGTATCTACAGTGTAATTTGTGCAACTGCTACCAAATAACTTCTCAACTCAATATCTATTGCTTATGGTTGACTAAAAAAGTGACAGTATCTGATTGTTAAAACAGTTATGTCCTGTTTGACTAAGTATGAAAATAGACTTTATGTATACTTGGTTCTTTCGTCCATTTTGCATTTAAATATAGCGAAAAAAATGTAATAGGAGGCAGAGGATAGATATAAGAGACAGTGCCAACCATTAATTTCTGTACAGTTTCTGTTGGGGATGTTAGATTCCCAAAATTCGCTTGATAAATGCCTTATTTTGGATTTCACGTTCGCCAGCATGAGCTGATCAGTTGACCTTGAGATTACAATTCCCACCAGGAAAATCTATGGCTGTGATTGGCTGCTGTGTATTTTAGTGTGTTATTTTCTTAACTGTCTCAAGGACGTTTCTATGTTGTATAAATAAACGAGAGTTGTATGCTTGATTGTACTGTGATTGCTGGGTGTTTGTAGAATATACTTCCTACGCTTACAAAGCCTTCTATTCCGATTTTGGGTATTCAAGGTAGCCTCACTGGAAGCTGGTAAAAGTCTCGTTCGCGTTTATCGACTAAGGTAAACTCGTAATAGCCTCAAGCATACTAAGTGACGAACTTATCATTGGCGACGGTTCTTTTGGAAATATGAATCCTGCCAAACTTGAATTATTACTTGAGCAGCAGCTGAAACTGATGCAGATGCTGACAGACATGAGTATTGACGCTTCCACTCAGCCCAGCTCATCTAATGCAACCACAGCTCCATCGGTCGACGGCATCGCAAATAGCATAGAATATACCTTCTACGCTTACAAAGCCTTCTAACTTCAGCCTTGGGATTCAAGGTAGCCTACCTGGACGCTAGTAGAAGTCTCGTTCGCGTTTATCGACTATGGTAAACTCATAATAGCCTCAAGCATACTAAGTGACGAACTCTACAGTTTCTAAACATTCATTAAATAATTTTTGTTCAAAATTGAAATTAGTTTTACCCATTAAGGATACAGTTGAAATGTTGACATGGTGAACAAATGCAAGTTTAAATGTTATTGAGTATGATTAAATAAGCAATTTTATATGTGGAACATGTTTATCGTCTAATTGTATTAAATAATGTGCAGGCAAATAGCGATGAAAGTTCACAAGCTTCATTCAACAAATCACATTAAGACATAGAAATCATGAATTTATTATTGTTAGACCATCATTAGAAACCTCAAAGCACTGAACGCGGCCATTTCGTCTTGGTATGGGACTCATCAGTGTACATCCACGACTTTTGCAACTCGCAGAATTCGAAGGTCTTGAGTGAGAACGCTTAACCTCCGGACTGATAATACGGCATCTGACGGGGTTAATGTTTAGCTTCGATCAATCTAGGGATTTTACGCAACCTCACCCAGTGTTTTCGGTAGTTACCGCCTCCATCTGACAGGGTTGAAATCAACTGGTTACGTCTTCTTACCATAAATCACCGTCGAATTCTAGCCCAGTGGTCCAGATGTCAAGCATTTGCATGCAAGACCGAAGATCTCGGGTTTAAATCCTGCAAGATGGAGGGGTCGTGTATGCACACTGCGGATGAGTCCCAAACCGGGACGAAACGGCTGTCCAGTGATTGGTGGTTTCTAATGGTGGTCTAACAATGATTTGTTCATGATTTCTATGAGTTCTTCATCATCTCTATCTTTCTCTTTCTAAAGTTACCTCACTGATTTATACTTCTCGAATCATATCTTCGAACCATAATCTTCTCCATTACTGCTAATACTTCTACTATCACAACCATTATGGGATTTGAAATGACAGTTACGTTTCTGAGCAGATACGGTATGGCAACCAGAATTGATGTACGTATGTACGAAGTTCTACGTTATAACTGACTGACTCACTCACTTTGACAACCAGTATGAGATTTAACTCTGGAATATCTTGTTGTTTATATGTTATAACTGAAATATGATTTGTCTTTGATGTGCAAATGGACATTTTACATGAATTACCTCAATCAAGTCATTTCGAACATTAACTGTGAGATGCGAATACATCCAGTCAAACACAAGTCACAAATAAGGGTAGCAAACACATGCTGAATTCCACTACTAAACACATCGTATTGAAATGATCAACTGAACATTTCACGTGCTTAAGTTATTCAAGTTGAATTCAAATTTGGGTGAGGGCGCGCAAAATCCTTAGATCAATCAGAGTTAGACATTAACACCGTTGGATGCCGGCGCAGTGGTATAAAGTTTAGGCATTCTCTCACAATACCGAAGTTCCCGGTTCAGATCCTGCGAGATGCAGAAGTCTTCGATGCTTACTGCTGATGAGTCCCATACCAGGATGAAACGGTCGTCCAGTTATTTGAGGTTTCTAATGGTGCTCTAACAGTGATTTATTCACGAATTCAATGCATAAAATCAATGAACTCCATAGCCCTAATTGAAAAATCACGTTTAAGAAACGAAGTGTATTTAGTTGAAGATAATAAGGGGAAAAACACAAACAGTCACAAATTTCACCATGATTTTTTTCCACAAAAAGTAAAGCACTTTCCATAAATGTTTCTACAATTTAACATTTCAAAACTTCGGGTTGATAGGCTTTATGAAATGAACATCTGTTTTCTTTGGTTTTTATTAAATTCACTTGATAAATCGAATTTTATATCTCTGTTGAGGTACTGCTTAAAATGTAGGATTATTAAGTAACTGTACCATTTGTCTGTAGTTCATTACTCATGATCCTGATGAAGAGCTAAATCCACTTGTAAATGATAGAAACCATTTTGTTTATGATAATCCTCTGTTTTGTACATCCAACACCTGGTCAGCTTATAATGCGTGACAGTAATCATCCAGGGACACGGTCACCTAACTATTAGTAATCACTGATGAATACAACTGGTCTGAGAAAATTCCTTTCAATCGAAAATTCGTAGTTGTTCTTAGGGCAAAGGAACATATTTAGATATGTAACATAGATCCCCTGAAGTAAACTAAACAATGACTGAATGATAACTATTCATATCAATAAAATGACTGACGCAATCATCCCCAAATGAATAGAAATTTTAAAAATTGAAACATAGCTATCAAGGTTACTTATTCATCTATTATTATTATTATTATCATCAATTGTGTTTAAATCATGTAATTTATTGACATTTGAACAAAAAAAATAGAAGCCAATTTCTTGTTAATATGACATTTATTTTTTTTTGTTTTGTTAAAATAAATAATAACTAAATAAAGCCGATGAAATATAAAACATTCTTCTTTAACAACTAAAGTCAATGAATTTTAAAAACAAGCAGGAACAATTTCACCATGTTATATGTTGTTGTTAAACGTTTCAATGTTCAATGAATCAAATATTTAAAATTTGTTCAAGATGACATGATAAATAAAAAAAATAAAAGAAGAAGATAGTGTGAAAATTATATTTAAAAATCCCTCATTTGGTCATGTCAATGTAATGGACACTTTACATATTGATAAGTCAATCATGCAGGTTTAATACACTTGAGATAAAAAAAAATCACACATTTAGATAAGAGAGATGTCATCAAAAGAAGCATTCACAGGGATGAATGATTGTTAACTGTACTATTGTATTATTGAATGAAACAGATAGCGAAATTGTGGTATGGAAATAAATGTTGTTTTAAACAGGGTCAGTTTTTTCTGTTTCTGCTTTCAAATACAAACGGGTTATATTTAATGCCAGTATGTCATTTTTGTGTATGCAGTCATGTATATAAGCATTGTTCGATTCATTTATAACAATATAATAGACTGCTTGACATTGCATTTCGTTTTGAACAGATTGAAGAATTTTAGAAATGAAGATCCAAAGTGTATAAGTATGTTAATCAGAATGAAAGTGATTACCAGTGCATTTACGATTTCATGAATCGTGTACGTCGCATATTCTAAACACTAAACTGATCTTAGTTAGAAGAAGAAGAAGAACTGAATGACTATTCTGTCCCCTGGTGGAATTTGTCAGCAGTTCACATCCGTGGACCGATACAACCGTAATAGTGTATTGAATGAGAACACAGGTGGGGCAACCGAATTGTATTTAGCGAAAATTACAGAGTTACTCAGTAAATTAGGAAAGCCATATCGTAAGTTGTCCATTTGCAAAATATCAGTTCATCATATCGAACTGAACTGTTCCTGTTGCAAAACATCAATCCATTGTCACTATTCATGCGTTTCATATAAATTCCATTGTGTTCTAACTCTTCCTTTCTTGATCTTCCCCCATATTATGCTACCAGACATTACGTTTTTACTCACGTCATATACTACTTAAAGGTAGCTCACACCACATCACCACTATAGAAGGGCACCTAGATTCACTATCTTCTATGGGCTGTTTCTAATCACATCACATTAGAAAATCACCATATCTTAAGTTTTAAACAACCATCAGAGTGACGGAAACAATTTTTATCATAGTATATCAAACATTGTGTTACGAATAGACGTAAACATTTGAGATGCTTGAACTATTACAAGTCTACCTTAGTCAGAGAACGAGAGAGGGGATCGAGGATCCGGCGATACGACATGCTACTCTCATTCGAGTGTCACAACCCCAATTAAGTGGAAGAAGAAGATTTGATATAAAGTAGAACTTGTATTCTACAAGCATCCGGAAAGTACGAGGTCCGAGTCCAGTAGAAGACACGGATCCCGGGGTGAGGATCTGAGTCCTGACACTGATCATACAACGTTACAGATAATGCGTATTTACACATTTAGGTCGAATAGGAAACAGCATCGAAGTCTGTGACATTGACAGTTAAGGCGACCAATAGGAAACAACATTTGAAGTGACATTGATAGTCAGGACGACCAATAAGAAACAACATTGAAGTACGTGACATTGATAGCTAGGACGACCATAATATTGACCAATAGGAATCGACCAATAGAATTTACACTTACAAAATGATTCTTCGTCGGATATTTGATGAATATCCTAACAAAATGCACAAAGTTTTAACAACTAGATTGGTATAACTGAGTTTCTATTGTGAATATAAACTTTTTTTGAAGGTTTCAACTATAACATTGAACTTTAGCAACTCGATTACCAGTGTAATTTTAATAATGTATTTATGGTAAGTTGTAGATCCAAATAGGATAAATCTTTAGAAAAAAATTATACGTTAACTGTATAATTGATGAATAGTTTTAGGCTGCGCTATGAATTTGTATAATAGGATTGTGGAGAATGTTGAGTTATCTTTCAAAATCATGGATCGATCAATGTTAGACTACCATTAGAATGAAACTTAGGAGCACTGGACGGCCGTTTCGTCCTGATATGGGACTCATTAGTATCAAAGCACATCTATGACCCCTGCCACTTGAAGGATTCTCACATAGGACCTTTGGTCGTGCGCGAAAACTTACGACCACTGGACCACTGAGTCAGCCAACGTCCGGCTGTGTTAGTGTCTAACTATGAATTGATTGAAACTAAAAAATCATAAAAATTTGAATTAAAACTGACGATAACATTTTACATTTCAAGTTTCAGTCTCACTATGAGTGATATATACGCACTGTTAAAAATGCCTCAATCAAATACACGACGATCAGTCAATATTCCCCGAGTTTTAAAGCATTTTCTGTTTAATTTCAATTAGTTATATTGGAAGAAAAATTATCACATCAAATATGATTAATTGAGGATTACTATTTTTATCATCTAACTTAGGATTTGTCAGCTGGATATACTTACATCACACATTGATGATGTCTACTCCAGGACTCGAACCCAGTACAGTTCAATTTAAACGTTATCTCGTTGTCAATTAACTACTAAAAGCATGTCACTTAAAGACAACATCGAAGTAATCTGCATAAGATCTACAGATATGCCAAAGAGATAGTTTAATTGCAGTCTTAAACATCAACAGGGAGATTTTAACAACCAACATAATTGAATTAATCATTGCTTAGTTAATTGCTGCTTTCTATTTTGAAGAAAGATTAGTGAAGGGAAAAAATCTGAGCATCATCGAGAACACTTCTGATGAGTCCCATACTAGGACGAAACGTCCAGTGCTTCCAGGTTTCTAATGTTGTTGTCCAACATTGATTGATTGATGATTTCACTTGTGTAAAAATATAAACCTCCAAAACTCTGCCCCAAAATATATAATATCTGTTTTCAATCTTTCATGATATCATGACTGAATTGTTTTAATTTCATTTTAATGAAGCAAAACACGATTGGTTTAATAGCCACATTCATTATGATGACCAATTATACCAGTGAACAATTTACGGAACATTTTGATTATTCATATTTTTCTCTGCACTGTACCTTCGCCCATTTCCCTGGCACAATTCGGTATTTTTTCGATACCACAAAATCACGGGCATCTGGACTAAATTGCCTTTTTTTCTCTCTAAACACGAGATTAAGGACAAGGCTTTGGACTCGAACTTTCAATTAGAACATCTACAAAACACCCAGCAAAAATCATACAATGTGACAAATTAGTTAGTATGAGTATTCTACAACAACATTTAACCCGCTCTTGGAAAAAAAACCTGTCAGCTACTGCCTAAAAACTCTATTCCTTAACACTACAATTTGACATTCTCAGCGCTTCGTAAGAAAAAACACCTAGAAAAAACGTCACAAAACAAAAAAAACTAAAACTAATTTGATAGAAATGATTTTTCAAGGTAATAGAATATTATCAACAGTTAAACAGTTAGTTATCTACGAATGAATTCCTTTTCTTGTGCGTAGATATATATATATATTTTATAAGCGCGCTATATTATACATTAAAACAACGAAGATAGTTGATGATTGGTTTATAATAATAATTCATTCATTGCATTAACTCAGTCAACTGGTTTATTGATTTTTTTTTCTCATTGACAGACAACATGACCGAGTTGATGTTCAACTAATCCCCTATGTGAGTGAAATGATAGCGAAAACTAATAATAATAATAATAATAACAATAAATTAGATTTTACATAAAAACTAATCATAAGATTAATTTCATTTACCTATTATATAATTTTTATTGATGATGAGAATGCATTTTCATCAGACTAACTGTCATATATATATAT